ATCATAGAATCATAGAATCATAGAATGCTTAGGGTTGGAAGGGACCTCTAGAGATCATCTAGTCCAACCCCCCTGCACACGCAGGGACACCTAGAGCACGTGGCACAGGACTGCATCCAAGCGGGTTTTGTTTTCCGCTCCCATGCGGCCTTTTCGGCCTCTCCGCGGCCTTTCCGCCTCATCGCCTGCTTTCGGGCCCTGCCCCTCTGCCAGGGACACCAGGGCTTCAGGCCTCTGGCAGCCAAAAGGTCGGCTGTGTGGAGCAGGATGTGGAGCAAGTCATGATAAGTCACAGCTACAGGCTGAGAACTGCTGAGATGGAGTTAATCCTAGGGCTTTTTAACCGCAGAGGGAGCTGAAAAACCTGTGGGGCTCCTCTGCTGTCTTTTTTTTCCTTTTCCTTTTCCTTTTTTTTTTTTTTTTTTTTCAGTTTGGCTTTTCCCGACATTCCTACCTTTGAGGTGTTTTCTATTTTCAATAGGTGATGCGCACGCGCACACACACACACACCCAAGAAGTCTTTTTTTTTTTTTTCAGGAAAGTAAACCCTTCACGGGCTTCAGGGGATTTGAGGCACCTTCCTCTCCCCCTTTCCTGTTCTCTGTGGTGTCACTTGCAAGAGGGCTGTCTTGGAAGCCCTGAGAGCCCAGGATTGTCACCAGCAGAATGGCCTGATGTCAGCTGCTTAGCTGTTATTGTTATTATAATTCTTGTTGCCATTATCATTATCACTATTATTACTTTGCCTCCTGCTCTCAGAAGAGGCGTCCGGGTCTTTAATTTTGAGCTGTTCCAATTCTTGCTTTAACTTTTATCAGCACAGAAAAGCTACAGGGCAGAGCAGCAAGGGGCACATGGGTGTCCTTGCAGTCCAGGCATCTCTGCTGCAATCTCCGGTTGCTCAAAAACACCTAAGTGAAGAAAACAGCCAGACAGAGCCTTGCCTGAAACTAGCAATACATCTTACAGCATACTTGTTGTGCTTACAAGGGAAGAGATGCTTTAAAAAAAATCAGATTGAATGGCACTTCAAAACTGTCCTAAATCGTCAGTCTAACAGAGAACAGTTTGTTTTGCCTCCCCACAGATGAGACATGCAACCCAGTGCTCCAGTTCAGTCTCACATTAGGATCAAACGATTGAAGCTGGGTTGGTAGGTACAATACAGCAGCTGTTTGGTTCTGTAGTATCCCAAAGGGCAATATTTATGTAGCTGTATGTATATTTATGCATGTGAATATTTGATCAGCTCCCTTTTTGGTTCTTGAGCAGTTTCATTTACAGGTGCTGCTCTGGGGCAGGCTGAGGGGAAGGACGCTCCAGGTGGACACTTCACGAGGCCAATATGCTCCTGTCTCAGCGTATTAAGTCATTTGAATTACCCCCACCTGAGGCGGGGCTGTGGAGGGAAACCCGCGGATTTCCGCGCCCGAGGCCACGGAGGCGGTTGCGCCTCCGGCCGCCGCCAGGGGGCGCCGCCTTCCCAGTGTGTAGGGGGGCGGTGCTCCGC